TACAAAATGAGGCTGTATTCATGTGGACCACTGAACTGGAGAACGTCGCTACTTTGTGTTTCAAGGCCTTGGAAGGGTCTAACTATGGCGTTCGGGTAGCCGTAGCGAAACTGCTGGGGACGGTTATGGCCACGGCCCTGATGCCCAAACAAGCAGCTGGTAGGTTACAGAGTGGATTTGTTGTTTTTAGAGTAGCTCACTGCTTCTGTTCTTTATCGCGTTCTTTTTTTAAACGTGTTCTTCTCGCAGTGATGCGTCAGAATGTAAAGCGAGCCACTCTGGAGGAGGTGCTGGAGCTCATGGCCACAGGCTTTCTGCGCGGTGGATCTGGCTTCCTGAAGAGCGGAGGAGAGATGTTGAAGGGGGGAGGCTCTGTCAGCAGGGAGGTGCGGGTGGGCGTCACACAGGTGAGGTGAACTCTCAAACATATTAAAAATATGAACCCGATCCATCTGACTCATCCACCTCATGCGTGTTTTTCGTTAATTTCTTCTTAGGCATACGTTGTGTTTGTGACAACACTTGGCGGTCAGTGGCTTGAGCGCAACTTTGCCACGTTCCTGTCGCACGTGTTGGACCTAGTGTCTCACCCTCGGGCCACGCAGACTCACGTTGAGGCTGTGTACTCGCGCCGCTGCGTCTCCTTCATGCTGCGCGCCACCTTGGGGGGCTTGCTTGGAGAGAAAGCACAAATCGCAGCCGGCAAAGAAATCTGCCAAGCCATCAGCAAGCAAATGAGGGCTGTGGGTAAGGAGGATGGGGGGGAAATATCACGGTTCAGAGCATTACAGAGTAAGTACTCATCCATTATTATCACCTTTTAATTCGCTCCTCATTCAGTTTTGAAATCTGTTGCATGGCTTGTGCTTATGTTGTGTGCAGAGACCGCTTCTCTTTTTCTTTTATTTCTCTGCTTTTCCTTCTGCTTTCTGCCTGTGAGGTTACTTTCCTCTTTCTTCATATCCCCTTTTCACCACAAGTAGTATCATAATGTCAGTAAGATCATCCATTACCTGCGCAGCATATTAAGTACTCATGCTTGCATTATTGCATAGCCTTTATGGCTTTTTTGCCTGTGAATTCACATTTTGTTATTGCCTTATAAACCCTAAAGAGCAGTTAACGTAACCTTTTCTGGCATCTAGCATCTGGCATGCACCAGCAGAAAAACTGCACGTGCCACTAAATGCAAAGACACACGACAGGATGATGCCATTACATCTAAGAGAACAAGACACAGTGTTTTGCATTATTTTATTAATTTTTTCGCTTTTTATCATCACAAAATTATTTTCAAAATCACCCATACCTCGTTCACAAAGGATGTTTCTTACTCTGATTTGCTTTGCAACCTTTAAACCGATGTACGTTTCAGAACTTCTTGGTGTTAAGACAGAATTTCTAAAAATGTTGGATTCTCCTGGGTTCTTTGTTGTTCACTCTGTACTTGCTGCTGTATTTTTTTCCATCTAGTTGGATATGTGAGACTTCTTGAAATGGGACTTTGAGAAATGTCTAAGCTAAACATAAGTGGGAAAATGTTACCGGGAGCCATGATAGAAGTAGGACATCTAGTATATGTGTTTACATTTACA